GTTAATATTTACATGACTCAACAAGAAGATATACCGAGTTAAAGCAAGTGATTTAGGTATGGAGAAAAGTGTATGACAGTTGTGCGATTCAAAATGATTAACTCCGATCTTTAAAGGCATGTTCATTAACTTAAGGAAAAATGCGAACAAAGCAACGATGTCAGTATTCAACATAATAAAGTTAATAAATTGTTTGACCTTGTTTTCGCAACTTCGTGATATTGGCAGGAAGACTTAGGGGAACGCACCTATTCCGGAATCCATTGTATACATGATAATTTCGGATCGTGGGCGTGGTACATTCCCAGACATTTCGCCGGCATCGTAGTCGGCACCGTCAGTGAGTCTTGCTAGTCTAAGCACCATGCAACAACTCGTCAACGAGACAAATGAAGCCGATAATCTTACCAAATGTGTGCTAAACAGCTGTGGTATCTCTCATTCTGTCATGGTCTATTCACCTGTCCTATATCTTCGTATCACGCCTTCCTTGTTTATATAAATGTATTGTGGTGCGCCCTTTTGAGCGGCTTTCATGAGAACGCTCCACACACCATGCTGGCGTTCTCATCCATCTTCACTCTTGTACTTGAAATGCTGATAAGAATCTGCCATATTGTTAGGCAGTACTATTTCCCAAGGTCTTATCAGAGTCTCTCCTCTTGTTCCGTAAGATCCGTCTGCTAGCATGCTAGTTAAAGTACTTCACTCAACGCCTGCCATCCCATCTTGAACCAGGGAGATAGCAGAGGAATTCTACGGGGGAAGATGCAGACTCTGATAAGACCTAGGGCAGAATAACTGCGTAACAATATGGCAGATTCTGATAAACGTTTGCAGCACAAGGCTGAAGGTGGGTGAGAACGATAGCGTGGAGTGTGGAGAGTTCCCATGAAAGCCGATGAAAATAGCACACCACAATACATTTATATAAACAAGTAAAATTGAAATAGTGAAGGCGTGATACGAGGATATGGGATAGGTGAATGGCCCAGGACAGGAGAGATACCACAACTGTTTAGCACACATTTGGTCAAAGGATCGACTTCCCTCGTCTCTTTGACCAGCTGTAGTGCGGTGCTAAAAATGGCGACACTCAATGACGATGCCAATGAAACTTCTGGTAATATACCACGTCAACGGTCCGCCCCTTGAAACTGTCATGCAGGATTGTTGAGCTTACTTTCATTTCACGTGAAAGTTTTTGGCGAAGAGATTTGAATGTCAATTTCACCAGAAGACGACGGCGGATTCCTCTTGAAAAGCTGTAGATTGGTTTTGTTATAACATTCAAGGTGACGCTGTTTCCGAGGTAATTTCCTTCGATTCCAGTGAAAAAAGGTGTTAAGCTTTCGTCCGCCATATGACGAACATGATCAGAGCAAGATATCGTCACAATCATATTCAATCTAACGAGTCAAGAAAACTCACCGGCAAATCCATAAAAAGCGGTATATACAGATTACATCTGGCCTCTTTTATCAGATATAAAGTGATCTGGTTAGTTACGGTCATATCTCAACCTCGAAGTCCGTGAGTGTGTCTGTCGCTGTATGTACATTTGCCTGTTTGTGTTCGCTTATGCACGAGACCCGCATTGATGGCTCAAAGTAATTAGGACAGCAAAAGTAACGTCTGTTTTCGGCCATCAAGATTCGATGACCACTATCTTCTCATTTCTACATACATGTTATAACTATAACTTCGATTGCGCAAGGTCGGACACTCGTCTGGTGTTATTGATGAGCCTATTTTTTGTTTTTAGTCTTAATGCGAGAGAGAAGGAATGAGCTAAATGTACGCAAAGTGACTATGATTAGAACCAGGACAAGAAAATATAAGTTGCGTCGCCTCTTTTTGCAGACGGCTATTAATGAAGCACAAGTATGAAGGTTGTGTGCACAAGTAATTTTTACTTATCTTATTGTCGGTATTCCTAACATTCGAGGTATTTCCTATTCGGTTTATTTCGGTGGCTTCTCTAATTTTACGTTTAGCCGCAAAAATGCCATAATCAGCAAAACTAGAAGTTTGAAACAATTCAATCTCGTGTCCTGTTTCTGCTCTGTGTTCAGCCAGCTTTGATTTCTGAGCCCAACAGCCTTTGCAGGCGCTTTTGTGCTCAGCCACCCTTTGTCGAATTGGACAACAAGTCTCTCCACCATAAAAGCGACCACATGAATACATTATGTTATAGCAACCTGATCTGGATAATGGGTCAACTTTCTCTTTAAAAGTGGGGATAACTGAAGAAAGTGTCGTAAGTTCCTTGAAAACCGTTTTTATTGCCCACTTCCTTACTTTTTCGCCTATCCTTTTAAGAGATAATGGACAAAGATAAAGACGAAACATGAGAAAAGGTCATTACGTATTCACCATTCAAAAAGCTATTCTTTCATAATCTAACGTTATATTCAATCAAGCCTAAGGGATAATTGATTTCAAAAAATATTATTTTAAGCCGATCAATTTCATTTTCATAATGGTCTTTATCGGCTAGTCTTATGCTCCGAATAATCATAGAAGCATTAGATTAATAGAGAATAGTTTTTTAAAAGGTGAATACGTAAGGAGATAAGAAGACTTTTTCTCATGTCTTGTCTTTACGTTCGTAAATTCTCTCTAAAAGAATCGATGAACAAGTAACTAAGTGGGGAATAAAAACGGTTTTCAGGGAAACTACGACACTTTCTTCAGTTATGCCCACTTTTAGAGATAAAGTTAACTCATTATTCAGATCGGGTTGTTATAAAATAATGTATTCATACAGTCTCTTTTATGTTAGAGAGACTTGTCCCCATTCGGGTTTCGTGCTTAAGCGAACACAAACAGGCACATACACACAGAGAGCGACACACTCACAGGCTTCGAGGTTGAGATATGATCGTCACTAACTAAATCACTTTATACCTGATCAGAGGCCAGATATAGTGTATATATATCGCTTTTTAGGGATTTGCCGATGAGTTTGCTTGACTCGTTAGTTTGAATTTGGTTGTGACGAAGATACCTTGCTCTGATGATGTTCGTCATATGACGGACGAAAGCTTAGCACATTTTCATCAGGATCGAAAAAGATGACCTCTGAAAAAGCGTCACCATGAATGTACCAGTAAAGCCAATCGACAGCTTTCATGAGGAATCCGCCGTCGTCTTCTGGTGGAATCGATCTTCGAATCTCTTCACTAAGCACTTTTACTCGAAATGGAAAGAAAGCCCAACAACTATGAAACAAGAGGTTCCTCGAAACCCAACTTTGCTGCGCAATTATCATGCATACAATGGACTCCGGACTAGATGCGTTCCTCAAAGTCTTTCTACCAATTTGATCAATTTGCGAAAACAAGATGAAACAACTTCTATACAACGAAAGGAGACTGCGACCGCACAAAAAGCTATACTATCTTTTTCTTCATACCTTCGATAATAAAGTTTAAATTAAAAATTAAGGTGTAGCCTTATGTTTGGTCGCAGTCTCTCTTAGCCTAATATCTTTGTTTCGACCTCGTCTTTGCAACTAGGTCGGGGCGTCAGAGACCTTGTGGAACATTCCTAGACTTGTCCTGTGCCAGATTATTCGTGATTTTCAGCATGGGAACATTAACTTAATAAATTCCTTACTGGTATAATCCTTAGTCAATAGTCCGAAGGTGAAATTCACGAATATTGAGAGAAAACAAGACTAGATAAGTTCCACAAGGTCCTGCTGACGCTCCGACCATGTCGAGAAAACAAGGTCGAACCGATACTTAAAAGCCAAAGGAGACAACGACCAAACAGAAGACACCATCTTGGTCTTTATGCATACGATTTATTTTAGTTTAATAAAAAGTATAAGGACCAAGACGTGTGGTCTTTTGTATGGTCGCGGTCTCCTTTCGTTCTATACTAGTTGCTTGACCTTGTTTTCGCAACGTAGCCATATTGGCAGAAAGGCTTAGAGGAATTCACCTTGTACA